CTCCTTGCGTACCTTTGAAATGAACCTGGATGTAAACAAGAATGAGAAAGAGAATAAGGAGAAAGGAATTACTTTTCAAGCTTAGTTGAAGAAGTTGAGTCCGATGATGAAGAAGACTTGGCCGAGTCCATAGTACAATTGTCAAGGAATTTCAACAAGAAGAACCACACACCTAACTTTGGAAACTCAAACCATTTCTAGAGGAATAAAGCTACTGTAAATTTCTCTAATGATAAGAAGAAGAATAGAGGAATTTAATGACGGGTGTGCGACGGTTACGGTCACATTCAATCTGTGTGTGCTAACACTCTCAAGAAGAAGAAGAAATCAGTCAATGGTACCTGGAGTGATGAAGAATCTTAAGGCAGTCAGGAGTATGATGATGATCATGTGAGTAATTTCATTGCCTTCAATGTTTACACTGATCAGGGTGTTTCTGTAATAGATTCCGTGAACAGTAGAGAAGATGGAGTTAATTCATATTCTAACAGTAGCAGTGATGGTGAAGACCTAACTTATGAAGCTATCTAGGAATCCTACCAGCCATGTTCAACAAGTGAGTTAAAGTGTGTGAAATGTGTGACAACCCTTACTTTTAGTCATTATTACTACATTTGTACTTAGCTCATTTCTAAACTTCTACTACTTTTTAACTATAATTCCTAAAATTTAAGCTAATTAATTTTTTTCCTTCAATAGTAAAATTGATACTGATATGCTTTGTTGAAACAAAACTTTAATAAGTAATTTATGTAAAACTCGAATATCAAAAATACTTTCCTGAAAACATTTTTAACTTTTTAACATTGAATAATTTATAGATAAAATACTTTTAAGACTTAAAAATTTGTCCCAGGCGTAGGCATATATTCAAGTTACCGTTTACATTCTACTGCCGTTTATATGCCATTAAACTGATAGTACTATTTACTTTATAAACATAGCAGCGTTTTCAAAACACGTGATGCATCCATTTCTCACTTGTCCACATCCCACTGCTTCATCCGTTTCTACACTGCCAACAAACAGATTTCAGGGAGCTGGTGCCTCACCCGAGCTTCCTACAATACGAACAAACGGGATGAGCTTTCGCTCAGTAAGTAACAACAATTCACAATAAAAACTAACAGTAATACATACCAATATATGCATTCATATCATACATCCTAACACATTTCCTAAACATTCAAAGCGTTTCTCATATTATGCTTTCTTTTCTTTGATATTGTGCTTTCCTTTCTTTCGTTTCCTACTTCTTGAGATCTTTAATTTTGTATCATTGGTTTTTCATAACTTTTACTTCTTATAGGTCCCATCATGTTTTACCGTTGCGCGTATAACCAGTGAGGAGTCGGGTAGCGACCCAAAATAAACTCACTCACGGTTTCGTTTCATTCATAATCATAATAACCTTTCCTTGCGAAGGCCGGTACAAATAGTTTTTTTTTTTTTACTTCTTATTGTTTGTCTTCTTTACTTGTTCATCATCTTACTCTCATCATTTTATATTATGACGGTAATTTTAATCTTTTCATCTTACTGTCACTTTTTTCTTATTATGACAGTAATTTTAGCCTAATCGTCTTAGTGTCATCTTGTTTTATAATGACAGTAATTTTAGTCATATTAGTACATCTTTGAGCATTCTTACCAATTTCCTATGAAATTTGACCTTATTCAAATCCTTGACTTTTGTTGACTTTTGAGTAGATTAAAATTCTTTAGCAGTCCATAAGCACATTCAAAACAACAAATAAGATTCAAGAAACATCTTTCACTTAATAACATAAAACGAATTTCCCATATGCACAATTTCGTGCAAAATAAGGAAATAGGCTTGTTCGTGATATAGACATAGAAAAACTACTGTACTTATAGGAGTTCTGCTAAGGTCATGACTTTCAGGTCTCCCAAAACTTTGCTTCCTTGATCGCCTATTGGTCCTATTATATAAATTCCCAATCATTAGATTTACAATCTAAGATCAGTAATTGAAACACATTTGACTCAAATTCGTGGTTTCGTAAATATTATTTTCTTAAAGTGAGTATGTCGTTTCTAAAATCCTTGAAGAGATCTACGATTTCCTGTTCGGTATCCGGACCAAAACATCTTCGATATTGTCAATGTGCACCAAACCCGTACACTTTTGGCCATAAGTCACATATTGAATCTGTTTCAGAAATCAGCCCGAAACTGATGTCTAAGTTCATTTTTGGGAAAAATGCTATTTCACAAAAGTTGTTCGGAACAAACTTTTCTTCAACGTACTGTTGGTACCTTTTTGAAATTAAGCTTTTATATTGGTTTTCTTGCCAAAACAGTGCTAGATTCAATTCTGAGTTAATAACCTAGTTTTCAGTATTGGTCTGAAACTGAGAAGTTTCATCATTTTAGGTTTCTACACATCTTCATAAACATATTCAACTTACTTTACCCATCTTAGTCCTCCTATTCTTCATTGCGACCGATTTTAGTTCAAATTTTGTAACTAAATTTCGGCGGAGTTCCGCCTAATTTTGGGTTTCCCGAGCTAACCATAGCTCGTTTTATCCATGATTTTAACCTTTTGAAATACATCACATAATCATTCTTATTACTTTTTATCATCTTAAACATCAAAATCTGTAGGATTCTTTCACTATTCTCACAAGATTTCATCCTAAACAAAAATACTAAAAACATAATCCAATAACTGAAAATTTAACCTCTAAACATTCAGTTTTATGGCTCATTGAAAGTGGTCCGGTGTTTCACTCTATCACCATATAGTGTGATGCACATAATTACATAATCGTGATAATCCTCCCTATTATAAATAAATTAATTATATGACATGAAAATTACAGGTACATATATGTACATATGTTTATTTCTGTTTAGAAAGTCATAAATGTGTACTATGAACATATATTGTATGTCTTACACAATATCTGGGCTTAAAAATACACGATTTTTATCTTCAAGAGCTTGTGGAAGATCCCAATAGAACAAAGTCACAACAGGCTTTGTACCTGCATAATATAATAATGTGCAGAAGAAAATTAAACAGTTTGAATATTAAGAATGTTGACAAATCGTTTAAATGCTATAATAGATGTCAATGGAACGTAACCATTTTTCAAGAGATCGTCTATGAGGTTGTAAGTGAAGTTGATTCCATCAATGTTCACTCCTCCACTTATTGTCCCTCAATTTTTTTTTGTTACTCTCACTTTGCCCTCTCATTCTTCTAAATATTTTTATTTCTTTATAACTCCATTCTTTAATTATCTTTTATTATTATTATTTTTTAAAATTTTAACTTGCTTCGTTCATTTTTTTCTAACTCTATTTATGAACAAATATCTCTTACAACCAGGGTTTTACCATTCTTTCTTTCTGTTTTCCGTTTTTTCTTTTCTTTTTGACACCATTTGTCTACCATAGTCAATTACACTAATATTTTCCTAATATTTTCCTTTTTCGTTCCCCTTTTACTGTCCTTCTGTCTCTTAGATTTCTTGAACCTCAAATATAAACTTTCTCATCAATATAATCACCTTACTCGTGTTTATTTATTTTTATTTTATTATATTTTATTTTTCGTATTCTACGTTATTAAAATTTTAATTACAACTTTAAAAGTGCATCGCACACGTAGCTAAACTAGTTCTATTAAAAAGTCTGCATACCCTTCTCTTTAATTTAATTTATTTCATCATATATATATATATATATATATAAATATGTATATTATAAATGAGAGAGTACCCGCGGGTATGGGATTATAACTTTAGTGGGTGCTAATATTATTAGAACTTCTTGACGTTCATTTTATGTTAGTTTTTTCTCCTCTTTGTTTGCTGAAAAAAAAAAAATTAATAATGAGAATAACTTCGGCACACATTAAATATAAGTAAAGCAAAATCTCTAGAGAACTGATATATATATATATATATATATATATTGCTAAATTAGTGGTAGAATTAATATGCTTAAATAAACTTATATGCTGATAACAGAATAGATATTTTATTTCATCAAGTCACTTTCTCACACAACACACATAATTTCCAATACAAAGACCTTTATTCTCACTCACTTGCTTAATATATTATATATATAGGTAGCAGTGATTATTATTCTACTTATAATACTCTCATGATCTGGTCTTTCTTCTTAGTAGTCTTATACATATATTACACATTCCATATATGGAGTTATGCAGAAGCCAACAAAGTGGGTTGCTGATCCAGTCCGAAAAAAGTGTGCTCGAACCAGTCCGCAGCTCCTTTTTTGGTTCTCGTCAAATTATTGTCACGGTCGTTATGGACGAGGCCGAAGTTACTTGTAAAACCAAAATTCCATTAAAAAAACATCTTGAAATGTCCAAGCATAGTATCCCCTTACAGCCAAAACATTAATTAAATTGAGTTATTGTAATATCTTTCACTAATTGTCATAAATTTTTCTAGTCAATTGTTTAATTTATTACAACTGTTGGATCAATAATATTTTTTTATTGAAACTTTTCAATTTCAATAAAGTTTTTTATTTTCTTAGACCTACTATATTTTATACATACTAATTTACATAGACGAGTTTTCAATAGTTACATTCTCATCTTGGCGTGATAAGAATTCAGCTTCATTAATTGTAATAAATTTTTTTAATTAACTTTCTAATTTATTACAACTACCGTATCAATATCTTATAGCTATCATACGCAATTAGAGTGTATATAGTCTTCAAATATGTGGAAAATTAAAGATGAGTTTATAGTTAATGATTTATTTTTATGCATGCGCTTAATAAAATTTCCAGAATATTGGTCTACATAAGCAGTGAACATACTAAATAGAGTGTCTAAATAATACTTCATTAATGATGTACTTTATTATTATTATTGTTGCAGGTGTTGTTTTGTCCAAAAGATTCTCAATTATATCGGGAAAAAGAAAGTACTGATAAAAAAAGTGAATCCTAAATACTGACTGAATGCAAGTATATATTGGAGTTTACTTTATAGCATTTAGCAAATGCCACAGATGGTCATGATGGTATTTTATCCTCACGCGATCATCAACCAACCAATCATTTGGAATGAAGGTGTCAAGAAAACCCCTTTTAACATCAGGGGTGTCGACAACTCCTGCAATGATAAATCTATATGTTAGGTAAATATTTATTAAAATAAAATTAGAGTAAGATAGAAATTTAAACTCATTAATCATATAAATTCACGATTTTCTTCGGAAGAGTAAAAAGACACATATACTTGTGTAATGCATATGTTTTTCAAAATGACTATATTTTTTTTACGGTTTGTTATACGTTCGCATACGTTTGCACTTGCATATTCTTTACTTTTTACATCTTTATCTTTTATATATTTATTTTCCTAATCCTATGTTGTTTCCCAAAAAACAAAGGATCTGTCTTACCATTCTCAGTGATGTAAAGAGGAGGATTGTTGTATTTCTCTTTCAAGTACAAAACCAAGTCTTCAATTCCCTTTGGATAGATCACGAGCCAGAATGTTGAACTCTGCATCAGTGTTTTTGAAATGATTTTTTTTAGTATGTAGAATGATAAGTAGTTAAAAATTTAATAAATTAGATAAATATTGGTTTGCAATTCAATCCTTAAAAGAATCACCAAAAAAAAAAGGAGAAAATGAGAGAATAAGATTACCGTGGGCCAATAGGACGTCCATCACTCCCCTCAACTGTTTCAACAAATATTATTAATATTAAAGAATACTAACAAATCTTAACTCAGGTATTTTTGAATACTGTTTAGCTTACTTGTGAGATTAACATGCATATCATTTGCAGGACTTTTAAAAGTTCTGATTGAGCGTCAGTGAACTTCGGCAATCGATGTCCAACTAATGATCTCATGATTTTTGGGTAGTCTCCAAACACTATTGGATCAAAAACCCTGAATAAACAAAATCAAATGTACATGTATCATGTAACTCGTGATATAATAATACGGCTGGGGGCGACAAGGCCTGGTTAGTTAGTTTTTTTTTTTTTTTTTTTTTTTTTTTTTTTTTTTTTAATAAAAACAATAATAATTTTTTCCCTTATAAAAATATTGGAATTCGAGTCAAATTGGATTGGCCATATACTCAAACAGCCAGATTGGCTATAACTCGTCTATAATGACTAGAAAGTTCAAATAATTTTTCAAGTAAGCATTATTTTCCGAAATATGTCTAGTGAATAGGATTATTTGTTAGATTTCTTACCATCCATGCATAAACTCAAGAGCTCTCTTGGCAGCCTTGCGGCTTTCAAGTGTTTGGAATTTCGGTTCCGCCCATTGACTTGTTTCCACTAATCCTATAATTCCCTTTTGAGTTGGCTGAAAGGAATAAAGAAAACGTAATGTTCTATTAGTTCTAAGTCAATACCGTGTATTTTAGTTTGTTTTCTTTTAAGTATTAAATAATGTATCATATATGTCGTTGGTTCACAAATAGATTAACATGACAATTAACATGAAATTTCTTCCGATACAAGTCTACCACATCCGCATGTGCAAGAAGTATGTGATGAACTACTTTATAAGGTTCGGTTCCCGAGTCCCCATTTGGACAATTTCCAGCATAATCAGAACAACGACCTGGTGCCATAACACCACTCTCATACCCTTGAGTTGAAAAAATGTATGGCTCATTGAAAGTGGTCCAGTGTTTCACTCTATCACCATATTGTGCGAAACACAGGTTCGCATAATTGTGATAATCATCCCTATTAAAAATAAATTGAATTATATGAGATGAAAATCATTGGCATATATATGTATGTATGTTTATTTCTGTGTAGAATGTCATAAATATGTATTATGAATATTGTATGTCTTACACAATATCCGGACTTAAAAATCCACCATATTTATCTTCAAGAGCTTGTGGAAGATCCCAATGGAACAAAGTCACTACAGGTTTTATACCTGCATAATATATTAATGTGCAGAAAGAAATTAAACAGCTTGAATATTAAGAATGTTGACAAATCGTTTAAATGCTATAATTAATAGATGTCAATGGAACGTAACCATTTTGCAAGAGATCGTCTATGAGATTGTTATAGAAGTTGATTCCATCAAAGTTCACTCCTCCACTTATTGTCCCTCCTATAAAAAAAATTAAGATTCAGTTTGTGGAAATATCAGCAATTTTAATTAGGAGAATAGTGTATATATATGTGTGTGTATATATGTATATATACATATATATATATATATATATATATTGGTTTCACTATATTGCCTGTTGTCAGATAATTACTTACTTGGTAATATTCTAGACCAAGAAATGGACAGTCTAAAGGACTCGAAACCGATCTTCTTCATCATGCGGATGTCATCCTGTAAAAATTGCAATAATATTATTTATATCGATGACTTTCGGAGTTACTACCTAAGAAAGGAAATCAATGGTTTTGCCAATGGGACACCGATGATTTTTTATTTTTGTTTAATTTTTGCGACGAAGATATTTGATGAAGTAACAAATATTATGTTCGTTAATCATAATAATAAAATAATATTATGAAGTAACAAATATTAAGAACGTGAGTTGGAGTAGCGACGATCATCTCTATACTTCTTTCAAGATGTACGTCTTACAAATGTAAGATAAGATTTTACAAATGTTCAATATTATTCATGTCTGAATAAACAATTATCCTATTCTTAAACATAATTTACAAGATGGAAAAACTAATATCAAAACTAACTAGCACGTCCCAATTAAATCGAATCTACTCTTGTACCTAATCTAATCTTGGGTAAATACATTACTTATGATGCGTTTGGTTTGTCAGTTTTAACTAAAATTCAAAGGGTTTTCTTATAATTTTGTCTTAGTCATGTATATGTGCATGTCTTCAATAAAAAGATAAAAATCAAATAAATCGTTGGTATTCGTATATTTGGAAATCGTTTATACAGTAAACATTTCATACCTTGTACCGATGGTAGAAATCATTGGCAACTTGTCCAGATGAGCCACCAGGTATTTTTTCTATCAATTTTTAAGAGAAATAAATAATGAAATCAATTTTCTGTATATTTGTCATATATTATAAGTAATAAATATAATAAAAACAACGTTGATATTCTGTAGACCTGGATGTTCCTTCGTGAACGTATCCCAAATACTCGGTTCTTTGCCGTATTCTTCACTTGCTGCTCCTTCATACTTCGACAAGAAAAATCAAATAATACATTAATTAAAACAGAAAAATGAGTAACACATATATAACATAACAATTATACCTATTATATTAAACGTTCATAATTAATAAGCAAAATCTTGATATTGATTTGTTAAGGTCTATTTGGCCACTTAATAATAGTTTGCAAGTTTATATATATATATATATATATATATATCTTGATCATATACCTGATAAGCACTCGATGCTGTCCCAAATATGAAATCGGATGGAAAACATGACCTACTCAGTGGAATGCATTCCTCGTTTAGTTGATCATGAACACCTTTGCTGCATGTGAGTAAGTAGGCCACAATCACCAGTTTGAAAAGAACAACTACGTGAGTTCTCATTTTTAACTCTGAACGTATGATACTCTTACGAATTCGAAGTGGTCTATTTATACACCAGCAAATTAGTGAATTTATGGAAAGACCAATCAAATGTTTATTTTTCATGAGACAATGTTATGCTTACTACATGCATGGATTGGATCTATGACCTAACACTAATTTAAGACTTAACAACATAAAACTTTTGCGTAAGTTTCTTTTTCTTTTTCTTTAGAAGGTGTTTTGGATGACTTATCACAGAATTGATCCCTTATTTTTAAAAACTTTGTCACTAAAGCAGATTTTGGTTTTTCTTTTACTTCTTTCATTTTAAGAATATGACAAGTATAACCGTACTTAGATATCTAAGAATGGAAAAATTAGTAATTTTACAAAACACACTTAAATCCTACAAGTTTTACAATATTTATTCAAGCTCTTTTTTTTGTTTTTTTTGTTTTTTTGTTTTTTTACCGTCCGTAGAGTGAGGGGACATGTGTCTATGTTATACTGACCTAGACAACTGTAGGCGGCACAATACATATAGACTTGAATCTCATGGATTGGCATTAATTAGATATTAACTTGGAACACACTTACTAGATGTGGTGTGTATGAACATGCACCGCAATAGTTAATTCTTGCATCATATATTAGGGCAGAACTCGATTACATAGAGCTAATTTCAAAGAAAAAGGACAAGGTTCAAATAGATGAAGGTAAAAGAGAGACAAATTACGAGATTTTTTTTTTCTTAAAAAGAAGAAACAAAATCATGTTACTTTTCATTCAAAATTTTAGTTTTATTCATTCTCATACATATATAACTATATACATACAAATATAATTGTGTATATATGAACCGGTTCATGAGATGTGGTGTCACTGTATCATAAATCCTATAAACCAACTGGCGATTTATTATGACTAGTAGGATGGGCATGATAAGGATAATAAATTATTAAACCTAAATAGATTGTATTTATCTTATAATGATTTAATTTTAGCTTACCGCTATTTTAATTTCTTAGTTTATCCGTTGTATTTAGTATATTGCATAAGTATTGAATCAAATTCTCACGTAAGTGTACATATTATATTCTCATTAATACAGAACGTTGTACCATCATTCTCCAAATTAGTCCTAATTCATCACACTGTTTTCTTTCTTTTTTGAGTTGTTACTATTGTTCTTTGTAATTATTTTACTTTATCTTTAATAAATTAGAGTGAAGAATTTGATAAATATGGAATCTTCTACTGGGTATTAACTTAGTTGGAATTTTCTAATTAGATCTGATCATACTAGTTAATTTTTCTCACATTTGTTTCTTTTTTTTTTTAAGGGATTTTAGTCCAAGTGTCCCTTTTTGAAGGGTTTTATTCATAAATGACCGAAATTTTTTAAAATTGCTAAAGTGGTTGTTTTTTATTAACTTAATGATCATAAGCAATCAATCACCGATTGAATTAATTGAATTAGTAGTCAATCACCGATTGAATTAATGGCCTATCGATAATTGACTTCACTTTATTACTGAATAACTCAATGATTCTTCATTATTAATCAATATTATAATTAATCAAAATAAATCAGTAATTAATCAATTTTAATTAACAAATTATAGGTCTATTGATGATAAATAATTGATAAATATTTAATAATGAATTGGATAATCATTGATTGATCGTGGTCAATCACTAATTGACTTCTGTAAACAAAACAGTTATTTTTGTGAAATAAAAAAACAATTGACCATTTGGCTAATTTTTGTGAAATAAAACAAAACGGTCATATTTATGAAAAGAGATGGAAAAAAGGCCATTTAGCTAAATTTTTCAAAAAAAAAAAAAGAAAAAGAATTGACCATAGTTATTTAATTTGGTGCTGTATATAATACACACCTGGTTCTTGGATTAAAAAAGAAAACAAAAATAGGAAAAGCCCATACTCACAACGCTGTATATATGAGAGTATGGTTACATCTCAAAGCGCATGGTTAGATTTGAGGGAGGCCGTCCGTTTGGCTTCAATGAGTGTTGAATAAGTCATGTACCATTTTGTTTAAAAAAGTAAATAAATAAATGAGACAATGCTAGCTTAAAAAAATTGTATTTAGCACATTTTTTTTATTTATGCCATAAACATAAAAACCTTTTGCGAAATTTTAAGATATGTAGGTTTGTTTATCCTGTTACTTCAGCCTTTGTTTTAAGCGTCTGTCATTTTATTTAATTTTTTAAAAATTTTTGAAACGTGAAATTGCATTCAAACTAAAACATCATATTACAATGTGAATGACGCCACAATGTAAAGACATATATGACCTCAAGTGAGACCGATTCAACCGGTAACAATCTAATGATATTCAAAGAGAAAGACATATGCCTGAGGCCAAAATACAGGAAAATACCTTGGCATACCAATCGATGGAAGCTTTCTATCAATTGAAAGACAAATCTATGAAGCACAAAGGCCACTACTCATATAGAAACAAATTGAATGGAAATTCAGATCTGAGACATGAACAACGAGGGTTCGTTCATTTTTCCAACAGAATTCGTTTCATGTTACTGTAAACTAGTTGTTTTAGCACATAATGTGATACACGTACGACAAAATATTGTCTCAAATTTGAAAAGCTGTGTAGACACGGAATTGAATTGCTGCTAAATGAGTTTTCTCTCTTGGGTGGGATAAGATTTCTTAGAGTTTTCTTCCCTCCTAGTGCTGGATTTCGGTGCCACAGTTTAGTTAGAGAGAATAGGAAATTGAAGAAATTATATGAATGGTTTTTCCAATGTATTCATTGATAGGAAAGATACAAAATATATACAGGATATTGTTTACAAATATGGAAATAATATTATAGATGTACAAATATCCTAAATATTGAATAAATGAAATATGTACAACTTGTCCAATATCAGAGATTGTCAACTTTCCTTATTATTTAGCTGGCCGCCGGATTTTCGGCCCTAGAGATTGATTTTCATGCTCCACGGTGAAGGATTTGATGGTGGTTTCAACCACGTGGAAGGGAAGAGGTTCTTTGGCGAGGAGGAGGAGTTGTTAAAGTATAAAATTATTATTGGTCCACCTCCTAATAGCTTAAGCTTTTGGGATGGATTGGTAAACTAATATGGTATCAGAGCGGGAGGTCCTAAGTTCAAACCCCCGTAATTGTACTCTTTATCCCCATTTAAAATTGTCATCATGTGTTGGGTCTTTAATATATCTCGGGCTTAAATATTCACGTGTTGGGCTTTCTAATTAATTTACCTACACGATTGTCTATTGTTCAGCCCACACGTGAGGGGGAGTGTTAAAATATAAAACTATTATTGGTTTACCTCCTAATAGCTTAAGCTTTTGGGATGGATTGGTAAACTAATAGAGTTTTTAGAGAGGGATCTACACCCTCAGGTTTTCCTTCTTCTTGTCGTGGCGGTGTCGGGGGTGGAAAGAGGGTGTGGTTGAGGTTTCAGTGTCAGGGAGGGGGGTTAAAAAAAAGAGTGTGTGGTTGAGTTTTCAGTGTCAGAGAGGGTGTTATGGTGCGGCGAAATCTTGGGACGCTGCATGGATAGGTTGGCTATAGAAGGCGGTGACCCGCGTGGGTCTTATGCGAAGGCAAAGCGGTGTTCCTTCTATGGTGTCTCCCGCTCTATCCAGTATTGCATTCCTTAGTCTCTCTGTTCGCGTTGGTTGGATTGACTTCTATGATTTCTTCTGTGTCGGTGCTTTGTTTTCGTTTAATGATAGATGCTTTGATTAAAATAAAGGCGGAGTTGTTTCTCTCTATTGGTGTTGGATTTTTTTATCTCCTCATATAATGAATTGATATCTAGCTTAATTTAAATCTATCTTGCACCATGAGAGTAATCACGGCAGCAGTTTTCGCAAAGGTTGTTTGCAGTTCTGCTTGGAATTATATATGCATTTGAAGCAGATGCTACAAACATGTAGTATAAATGTTCCTCGGAGATTTACAAACATAATTGGAAGAATCTGTGGACTGAATGTGATTCTATTTACGTAGTACAGTTGCTACAAACACGTAGTAAAAATGTTCCTCGGACATTTAAAGCTAGATGGATCTCAACTATCTCACAGTTGGAGGAGTTGCATTTTCATTGTGTCGCACATTTTCAGGGAAGGAAATCAACTTGCAGACAAGTCAGTTTCTAAGGCAGTGCATTTGCACGCGGCTGAATGGTGGAGGAACACTCTTGCCTTCTGTAATTAGCTTGTTGCAAGGGACATGTTGGCCGTGTTTAGAATTGATCCCGTTTTTATTTTTCATATTTTTCGAGAAAAAAATAATGAAAACGTTTTTAAAACGGCATTTGGCGTAATAAAGACAAAAACAGAATGAAAACGATTTTTTAGTTTAATGTAAAATAAGAGAGAAATGAAAAACGACTTTTAGTCGCTTTTCATTTTTTGTTTCCGTCTTCTCCTCTCTCAAGCAGAGAGAGAGAAAGAGAGATATTAATGAATTTTTTTACACTGAAAGCAATCTCTTAATAAAACTACCAATCGCATTTTTAAAAATAATTTTTGTCTGAGATTGAAAACGTTTTGATTTTCATTTTCATACAAAAAATAAAATTATTTTAGAACGAGTTCCAAACACGTCCGTTGAGTTTTTCTTGTTACAGAGTCAAATAGTTTCACTAATTTGACTACTCTTTTTACTTTCTTGGTTTTTCTCGAAATGTTTTACTTGAAAGGTTTTGATTGTAGGGCCTTGGCACAGGGATAACTTCGCCTGACTTATTATGCAGCCCATCTAGTTTCTTTGAAACTACAGTGGCTTTTTTTTTGAGTTGTTTTTCACTTGTTACAATGCATTAGGGCAGAACTTTTCTTCTTGTTTTTATCTTATCTTTTTATTTTTAATAATATTTGAGTGGAGCGTTTGACATGATAGAGTGTTCAATGGGTGCCAATCTAATTGAAATGCTAGTTATCCTTAATATTAAATATTATATCTCGTGCTTTATTTTAAAAAAAAAAA